TATATATATATAGTATAATATATATAATATATATAATAATATATATATATATATATATATATAGTATATATATATATATATATATATATATATATGATTTTATGTTTGTAAGTGTCCATATTTATCATCTGTCCTTTGCGTAGAAATTGTATTTCGAATTTCGAAAAGAACTTATTTATGTGTATTCATAGCTGTAGTAGTGAATTATGCGTATTTCTTTCTGAGTTTATATTCGTGTGTCTGGTATGTTTGCGCGAACGTCTTCTCCTCCATGTTTATCTGGTCATGTGTATTATCATGTTATTGTTGGGCTGTACGTTCGGCTGAGCGTGTGTGGGTTATTTTTGTCTTTTTCTGTGTACTCTCGCAAAGATCTTACGTTAGTGAACGATTTAACCCCGTATGACACGAATCCGAAATATTTTTACGCGCTTGCGCAACAAGTTCAAATAAAATATATTCTTGTAGTCGTGACCGTGAAGGCTTATTGTACATTAAACACTCATTTAATCGAGAAACACGCACAGTATGAGCGCCGCACCTTCTGATATAGTCGGATACGAAACGAATATGTACCAGAGTGCATTTTGCAAGAGCTGTAAACCGAATGCATAAGAAAATTGACCATGCCACTCGTCTAGGTTTATGGGCTTTATATGTGGAGTGTTTAAATGATCACTTTAAACGTACCGAGAAGGCTATAAAATAGTTGATTAAACTTATATTTGGATATACAGCAAGTTTGGAAATTTGTGTGTACGTGTCGATTATCATGTATCAGCCGGCTTTGACATGCAATCCTAATACGCTCCTGAGTTATTGCTACAGCACACATCGTCAGTTTTATGAGCTCTTGTAACTATATACGACCATGGAGATAAAACAGCTAGCTTACAGGAACTTACTGTGGGAAGTGGATCTGTACGAAGTGTATCTCACACATTCAAATACATGAACCATGATTTCTCTCTTTGTAATAGAGAAATGATCTATAGTATATGTTCGAACTCCAAAATAGATAGCAAACGCTCTCACATCAGTCGGGTTCTATGCCTATCTCTCACGGGGTGTGGCGCCATATTGCGCTTTGCTATTCATTGTTCGTGAGAGTCGCTAGTTGCAGTGGTTGCAAACTATGATTTTCCTAGGATATGTCCTGTGCTATATTAATTCCAGACTTACGACCTAAACGAGACATGCTCCCATATGATCTGTAATTGAAACATTAACGTCCATTGATGCATATGCACTATGACATTTTATCTAGTGAAATATTCTATTATTGTAATATATGGTTGCAGGCCCATGTGGCTAGTTGTTCTTTCCTGGTTCTCCCTTAGGTTGTGATATAATAGATACTTCCTGGTCCTTTGTCCGACGCGAACACGAATGACATGTGCAAGATGCAATCAGAGTATCTTTTCTCGCCCGCTCAGGGTTTGGTCTGGTCAGTTTGTGTATTGTGTTAATATGCCCAACGTGGGCGAATCCGAAAATATGATGCTAGTGTGTGCTTCACCAAACATATTTCGTATTTTGTTTATTTAGGAGTTGAATGCCCCACAAGGCACTTCACATTCACGGACCCATACCCCATGATACCCCGTTAAGTTCAAAAACGCTGAAGATGGCAGTGGCTATACTTGCGACACAACCACCGGCAATGAGACCAGCGGCGACTGAGAATTTATACATCTCCACCTGTTGAGGTGCTACGGCCTGCCAGCACCAAAGCACGCATTGTCCGAAGAACTGAGCCACAGCATACTGACCAGGCAACAACCATGATAAGAAGAACACCGTCCACACGGGCTTCATCCACATCATTCGCTCGGGTATTACAAACTTAAATAGCAGACCCTCTACAACGGTCAGGCACGGGAAGATGATTAAGTACAAGAAACCTCTCTCAGTGATAGTGTAGTCTAGACTGTTGCCAACGGTTACACCCTGCTCGATACCTTCGGCAAGCGCATCCCAGGCACGTGCAGCAGACATGGAAAAAATGCATTCAGCTTCTGGATCCAGCATGCACGGGTAAGCCATGGTGTATAGCCAGAATGCCATTACAGATACTAAACCACCGACTGCGGTTCCGGCAAGCTGAGCCTTGAATTGTGCGTGAGGTGAAGCACCTACCAGATGGCCTGTTTTGTAACACTGACTGACCTCTGCAGTCTGAGCTGCAGATTGGGATACCATATTACCAACGATCAACATAGCATTGGCCGTTGAACTCATGAGGCCCATAATCATCATCACCAACTTCGCTAGAAGCGCAGCGATATTCCAATTGGTACGTCCCATAATTTGAGCGTTCACAACGGCAATTGGGAAAGTAATGGCAATACCTAAGATCATCTCCGCCCAGGTCAACTCATCACCGAATAGACCCATGTAAATTGCCAGACAGGCACCAATGGTTAGTGCTAGCAAAGATGCAGATATATAAATAGGGGTGTCTATGTCACGCTCATTGCCCTCAGGTAGGATTGTCTTGTTCTCTTCGTCTTCGTCGTCGTCATTTCGTTTAGTGATGGCCTGCTTGAAACCCTTGTACATATCCACAAGAACCTCATAATTGATTAAGATCATACTAAAGGAGCACACCAGCATAGCTACGACTGAAGCCCACATAAGCACGTGATCACGTCCAATTCCAAAGCTTGGCGTTTCTCCGAGGTAGCCGGCGTTGAAGTCGATGGGCACGAGAATGAACCATCCTACTACAGCACCAATTAAGAACCAAATATTCACCGATGGACCTACCATAAAGGCACTGGCCACAAAAACGGGGTCCAAGTACAGTACGAACCCCATCATGTCAGCGAAAAGGAAGTAGTCATAGTAACCATCAGCTTGGCATTCCTGCCACGAGCTCTCCCAGGGGCAATTACTTAAATAGCGGAAGATGGGCACACTGTATAGAATCGGGATGAAGTACGATATGCACTGCAACACAAACGCTACACCAAAGCAGTAAAGCATGACGCGAGTCTTCTCACGCCCCTCAGCTGCCCCCTCTTCCGACGAGTACATAGTGATAAGAATCTCAGCGGCGGCACGACCATCTGGGAAAACCAACTCGGGTTGCTTTACAATCAAGAAGTTCCTCAAACTTACCGCGAACACTAGACCAAAACCAGCCGCACCGAATACCAGCCCTATTAAGTTGCCAATATTGCTACCAACGCCGCCTGTGAAGAAGCCGTTCCAGAACAACACAAGAACAGGTGCGACCAAACCACCATTCAAACCGCCGGCTGCAGTACCGGCGGCCTGAAAGCAGGTGTGTTCTTTAATACCAAGTACATTCCCGGTCATCTTCAGGATAGGCCCAAGAGTGACACCACCCAGGAGGGTTGCAAATAGTGTGGCTCCAATTGTGATACCCGATTTAAGACCGAGATACATATTTGAGATAGCTATCAGCGAACCAACAAGCGAACCCAGCACAGTTGCTCTCCATGTGAAAGACTGATCGGATTCAATATACTGGATGTGTGGGAGTCCTTCAAAATCGGCATGATGCTCCTTAATACTTCCCATAGGGCCATCCAGACAGCTGGAAATATGACTAGGTGTCAAGCTTTCCTTTCGGTCCTTACTTTTCAGGCCCGAAGTCACTGTGTCGGACTCATCGGCGAACATGAGCTCATCGGTGCTCTCTACCACATCTTTCATATCTCTTTGTAGTGTCATATTGATAGATAATACTGATACACCGTCGATATTAAGCTTTGCTTATGTACTGCATTGTAAAGCTTCGAGTAAAAATGTTCCTCTCGCATATCACACCCGAATCATTGAAACTGCTGTTGCTATACCAGTAGTAATACCACCCAAGAAGCTGGGGTATTGTTTCATGTTTCTGGTTTCACCCTCTCTAATATCGGCATTCGACAGAGGAATCAAGTGATTTTTTTTGTCCTGGCATAGCCTTCTAAATGAAGCACTCCTGCACTCCTGCACTCCCTGGAGTCTGCAGAATTATGTAGATCGTTCTTTTTGTTTATTTTCCTTTTTCTCAAAACAAAGATTTTACAGCCACCACTCTCCAGGCCTGGCCGTCAAAGTTCAGAGTCCTCTGGCTTGTTGTATAATTTTTATTTTTATTTTTAGAATATGACGCTATGTCTGGCTATCAATTGAGTTTTTTCAAAGAACAATAATACAGCATATGAAAAATAACAAGTATACAAAAGATAAAAAACAATCAGAGTAGATTTACCCATTTTAGTGATTTTACTAAATTTTGTCAACTGGCCGACGGCCGTACATGATTAAAGGGCCTCTCACGTACAACATGATTTTTGGATTTTCTTTTTAAAAGGGCCTCCCATTGGTAGTATTGTTGGGCATCCGATATTTAACCCGTCCTGCGGTATGTAAGCTTCTAGGAGTTTCCAGGGCGACATTAAGTCTGCCAGCTGGCCCCTTAGGCCTTGACGAGGCCTGAATTGCTGACCAACGGCTCGACGCATAAATATGTGTAACTCTGAGTCTCTGACTCTCCCGTGGGCTGTGCCCCTGCCCTCTCCACTCTGGGCCGAGACTCTGGGCCCTGGGGACTGGGGCCTGGGGCCTGGGCCACCACCCTGGGCCCTGGGGTCAGTAGTTGTTGAAAGTTGTTTGTCAGGACTCTCAGGACTCAGAAGTCACGTGTGAGTCACTGAGTCTGTGACTGTCCCAGAGGGGGTGGGAACTCTGTCTGGTATGTGCATTGGTGGGTTTATACTTTTTTCCTAATTTGGAACAGATTATTTTCAAACATGGAGTAGTACACCTCTACTCTATACTCGAAATCAATATAAACCCTTTGTGATGAAGGCACAGTGGGCAGTGGCACATTCTCTGGCAATTCAACAATTGGCAAAGCCGAGGGCGGAATCCGAACAAGAGTACAAGAAGTCTACATACAAGAAGAAGCTCATAACGTTATGGGGCATACGTAGAACCGCAAATGAAATAAGAGATGAATGTAAACGTATATTTATTCGATTTATAAAAGTGTTGACGGAAAACGGTTCGAGGTTAGCAGTTGACGAGAGTATACAACATTACAACCTGTTTTTTTTTAAATCCCCCGGAAACCCAAACCTATTCCCACTGTACATATGTATGTACATATTCTTAGAATATTTATATAGGACATAGATTTAGATTTATACGTTTACGTTTATTTATGTTTACGCGCACAATCCTGAAGTTCTGAACGTCCAGACAAGTTCACTCAGATCTGGTGCTGCTCGGAGCTCTCGTTTTAACTTAATCTCAGCCCATTATATAGTTATATATATATAAGAGAGTGACTGAGTGAGAAAGCAAAAGAACGAAAGTACATATGAAAGAAAAGAGAGAGACTAAATATGTAGTCACTCTTAGTCACGAGTGAAGCAAAGAAAAAAAAATGCTATATTTGTAAAAAAAACCCCCCCAAAAAAGATTTATATGTACAGACCGTCAGGACTCGGGCGACAGTCAACGTCACTGGACGTCAGTCGTCACTGACGTCAGCAGTCATTAATGTCAGCCGTCTCTATTCACTAACGTCAACTACCAGCGAGTATTCATAGTCCTCTAAAAGAAACAAGAGTATGTATTATGATTTAGGAGATATGATTAAGTGGCGACCCAAAGGTTTCCACAATAATGGCTTTTATAACTTTACTAAAATATTAAATTAGTGCTGTACTAGTGTAGGCTCTATCCTCAAAATGTCACATGATTCCTGTCACCAGTACATCAGGAAAGAGATTACAACTGTAACAGTAGTGCAATCATAGAGTTAGATTCCAAAACTCTTGAGCCGAGAACCGCATATATTTTCAAAAACGACGACCAACCACTAAACCCGTCACCGTGTACGACTTGGATGTTTATCGCTTGAAAGTTATAATAGTGGTTTCAGCATCGGAGAAACTATAACATTGTCGATCGTAGGGATTGAGACCAGAAATTAAGTTGCTGTTATTTTACAGGTGCGACCAGGACAAATCAAATAGCCATACGCCCGCACATCCATATATAATCCTATGCTTTTGAAAAATGAATTTATAAAGTGCTTGAGTGCTGAAACTGACTGTATCATGATACACATGTGTTTAAAAATGGATGATATTGCCTCAATTTCAGATCTATTCCATATAGGAGAATGTCACGTATAGTTTGTTATTTATTTTTTATTCATATGTAGGCACTTATATTTGTAAGCAATATAACTTTCAACATTCTAGCTTATCTAACTATCTATACATTTGTATGTATGCCGGAAACTTCAGAAGTTCAGGGTCCAAGGAAGTATATATATAAATCCTTCTTCTGTGTTTAGATTCAGACGACATGTCGCGACCTCATACCAGCCCAGCAGACTGGTCACTGGACAGGGGACTCTCTGTGTAAGACTGAAGGCCTTGTTTTAATTGTACATATTTTTTTATTAAAAAATATGTACAATGATCTTGCAGTGTACATACCATCATTGTACCTTTGAAGTTTAGACTCACTCTCAAGTCTCAAGTCTCAAGTCTCAATGTCACAATAGAGTTACTCTATTACTAGAGAGGGAGGTACAAGGAGTCATAGAGAGTTTATTTATTTTTTGAGAAATCTTAATGCCACCTTTGTAAGAGCCACCTAAACCGCCACCTACAGATAGAGCCACCTAAATTTACCACCAATGTAAGAGCCACCTAAATTCACCACCATTGTAAGAACCACCTATATTCGCCACCTACGCTTTTAGGGTTTACCTTCACCCATTATTGATACCATCCGTGAAAATTCTGACATGACGCCACCAATACTATAGTATTCACTATAGAAAACACGCGCGCGTACAATAAATACATTATGTGTATGTAAACAGAACGGAAATTGAGCGTTAAATTGAGTTTGTATTGAGCTGTACTGAGAGATCATATAGCTAATAGATATTAAAGTGAGGAAGATCATGTCAGTCAAGGTGGAGCGCAAGTCACAGTACCATCCGGGAGAGAAGGATGTAAAGACCGAGTGTACTGTTTGAACTTCCAACTGGAGTTCACGAGGTTGTTAATGTAGATGCTGTTGGAGATTGTGGGTATTTATCACTTCTAGAAGACACTATTTTTGAGACATGGGACAGTCAAAAAGCTACGAAGCGTAGTCACAAGTCTGGAGACACCTTTATTCGTTGATACTGCAAGCAATCTGCTTGGGACCCACAGTGGTACTTTAGCAATGGAACGTTGGCGCACCGATCAAAGGTAAGCAAGAGAGTGGATGGACGATGTAGTGATGTTGGCGGTACTTCTGGTATTCGACGTCAATCTGGTTATTTGGCCGGGAGATAAGTACCAGCCAGAGTCGCAACTATTGAAATTCACTAATGCTATAAGGTCATACGGCCTTGTAGTGAATAGTGAGTTGGGAGAGTATCTGAAGATTTATATAC